ATATCCGACAAGTTTAGATGAACTAAAAAAGCTCAAATGTTTTCCAAATTGATCCAAATAAAAATAAAAATAAAATAGATAAAGAAGAATAAGATGAAGTCTATAATAAAAATAATATAAATGTCATAATTTTCTCAATTTTTCTTAAAATTAAACAAATGAATAATGAAAGTTTATCTACTCAATCTCACGACCAAGGATCCATGTTCAAAATAAGTAAATAAACAACAAAAAATTACAGGAAAAAAATGAAAATTAAACAACAATAAATCACTTTTGCTTTTGGAGGTTCAAGAACACTTTTCAACTCTTGATTTTGAATCAATGGAGTTTCCTTCCAAAATGATGATGATTATGGTACTAAATAAATAAATAAAGAGTAAAAAATGCAATAGAATTAAATAAAGAACAAGTATAATAGCCTACATATTCAATAAAAAGGAGAAATAACTTGAAAGAAAATGAAGAGAAAAAAGAAGAGAATTTTGGCTTAGTTTAGTGAATGATTTATGGTATTGTTCCTCCAAATGAAAGAAATAAATGTCTTATTTATAGGGTGAATGAGGTGGGAGTGTTGATGTGGCAATCCATGTGACTTTATGAGAATGGTTCTTGGCCATTGATAAGTCCAAGTTGGTAATTTATGTGAAGTGTGAGAATGATTTTTGACCATTAATAAGTACAAGTTGGCAATCCATGTGAAGTGTTTGTCCTACATTATAGTGGTCCCAACTTTTTTTTATTGACACAAAACAACAAAAGGACAAAGCAATAATAATAATAATAATAATAATAATAATAAACTAAAAGTGTTAGTAATAATAATAAATACAAAAATAAAAAATAAAAGAGACATTAAATTAACTATTTATAATTTTTTTCTTGAATTAAAATAAATGAAAATATAAGTGAAAATTAAAAGATAAAAAATAAAATACATATAATAAAGTAAAAGGACTTATATAAACTTTTCTAGATTTTTTTTGAAATAAATTATACCAATATATAAATTTAAATTAATAAAAGAACATATTTTTGGTGATTTTTTAGTAAAGAGGTAAAAATAGTTTAATAAAATAACATGATGCTAAGTACATTTTTTTTGTGATTTTTTTAAATGGAAAAGAAATCATGAATAAAACACAATAAAAATCAAATTCCACTAAATTCATAAACGACTTCTAACGTTTCTATTTTTCGTGGTTTTTCAAAGCATAATCAGCTCTTGACTTGTAAAGAGAAATTATAGATGATGTCAAGGAGAATCATATGCAAAAAGAACCGCTCAGAAATGTCGAAATTTGAGGAAGTTATAAATTTTGAAATCTAACTCAAGAATTGACAAAAAAAATAGGTCAAACCACTCGTGAACACTTGTTATACAATGATGCATATGAACGGTGGGATCTTAGGTCAAAAATTAGGGTATGACAACGGGCATTAAATAATGTTGTAGTCGACATCTTTCGATGTCGACTCACCGAGAACTGCTGAACCATCTTTTTGGTAAAGTCTTGATAACTAACAATAGAGTATCTGGGGAGATTCATGTACCATCTCAGAGTCGATTCCTTAAAGGTGTCAGCCATAAGCTTACACTTTAGCGAATCGTTATCCCCAATTATTTCCATTATATTATTGACGGTAATGATATGCTCATAGGGGTCGAACTTTCCGTTGTAAGTTGCAAATATCGGGGGTTTGAAGTTCTATGAAACCTGATCATCCCAAATGGCCTGGGACAATGGTTAAGGCTCCAAAAGCTCGAGCCCCGGGTCAGCGTCGTTCTGGCTCTTCCTTTGCAGGACCTAGACGTTGTCTTGTAGTGTATCGCTTTGTTGGCGAAGATCATCTTTCATGGCTAATAGTTGTGCCATGTCTGGAGGAGGGTCCGCCTTAGAAGACATTGTTCAAAGATTGGTTAATACAGCCTGGGATAGTTTTACCAGGCCCCATGGTGGGCGCCAAATGTTCTTGCTAAATACCAAATATGAGGTTTCTCTGTTGCTCGGAGGATGATAGGGAGAGCCTTAAAGGAGTGAGAGGGTGTTGTTTATAATATTGACGGATTCAAAGGCTTACATGAGTATGCGAAAGCTCCAAACAACGTGTCTTGCTTACTCCTTAGTTGGGAGCCCTATATATAGAGGTGAATTAACCTCATTGATTACTGCATGTAACTGTTATGGCTTTCCATGTTACGTAACTGAGTTGCCTTAAAGGCAAGTAACGTCCGTCGTCGCCAATGATAGCTATTATCATAACGTGCACCGTCATATAATAATAAGTGGTTACGCCCTTAATGGACCAGCCATTGTGTAATGGCTCCATTAAGGTCGGGCTAAGGGTAATCTCTGGATCCAGGGTATGAGCCCGGATGCTGCCTCTTTATCTTCTTCCATGGCCGATTACATGACCCTTCGATCATACAACCCAGTTTAGGCCTTATGATATCGATCTGGGGTGGTAACCAACTAATTGTCTACTTGCCTTTCTCGGTCTTTCAACCATGCCTTGCCTTTCATCTCTTCTAACCTGAGAAATAGATCTATGTATGAACAATGAGCATTTCTTAATTGTTCTTAATTAATTATTTTGTATTTAGTTCTTATTTAATTGTTGTTTGTGACATTGATTAATTTTTATTTCCCCAGTGCTGGATAAATGAGCATTTCCCCATGTCTATGATATGAGGGTGCAACATGCCCTAGCGGATGCCCCACGGGCGAGGAGATGGAAGGTCATGCAAGCATATCTCGGTGGTGTTGAGGAGTACATGAGAAGGCTTGATGCTCTAAGAGTAGAGGGTGTCATCTGAAAACCATACACAACTCATCGGGCCCACCGTGAGTTTGACAAGTCTTCTTTATATTCAGGTCATATGAGGTGGGAGACCTTAGAGGCTAAACCCTTGCCTTAAAGGTGTCTGCGACGGTATGGTTATGTTCAGGGAATCCCACGACCAGTTCCAGATGCTCCAGCTAGAGGCATTGACATATGATTTTAGAGTAACATCATCAGCTCTACCTGTGCCATTAAGGCTATCGCAGTGAGGGTTCAACATCCTTTACAGTCTGAGGATGGTTACCCATAATGGTATATCACACCCTCGCATCATACCACCTACTTTCGGGCCTTCCGATGTTGGGGTGCCTTTTGATGCTGGGGTTTTTTAGGCTGAGGTACAGGAAGACAATGTGCCGCCACCACCACCTCCACCAGGCACAGATGACCAAGAGCGCCTGTAAATGATCGTTGTTATTATGGATAACCCCGTGTGTTTGATAAACCCATACGGTGAGGTTTTTACTGGATTATCTCAGGAAACACACATAGCTCGTGGGGATTTATTTAGTTATTTGATTTCACAGTTGTATTATTTATATACTTTGTGACTCAGACTACTTAGCACAATATTTTTTATTACAGAATATTTTGTCGATTACATGTTTCAATTCGAATGAACAAAACTTAAAACATTATAACAAAGATAAATTAAAAATAATGAAACATGAAAACCTAAACACTACTAGATGATTATGGATGTTTCAGCATCTTGATTATGTCATCGACAGATCTTGAAATATGCGTATCAAACTCAGTCAGTCCCTTAGTTAGCCTACGGTGAAATGATCTTCACATGACCAATCTTCACCGGTCTTCAACCCAATAAGGTTGTATTCCACTCTTCCATTTGTATCAATTCAATCTTCACGAAACTCGATCTTTCTCACTTTTCTGTTATTGGTATCTAGCAGCAATTCATTCAACTTATCTGTCAAGTTGGCGAGAGATGTGGTGTCATCCGAAAGCTTGAACTCAACAAGAGGTTTGTCTTCGTTGAAATACACTTTTGTCTTAATAAAAAATTAAGGAAGAGGCATTTTTGAGATGTTTTCTCAACAACATATGACCCTTATTTATACAACTTTGAATTTATTCTGAACCACACATTATTGTCGGTGCAATGACGGTCATACAAAACAGTCGGCAAAATCTTGGTCGTTAAAATTTCTGGATAAATGAACTATTGGAAATTTCATAATTGTGCTAAATTTATGGTATGAAATGACACATTTTAAAATTTCAAGAAATATGTGATAGTTTTCGAAAATTTCAATTGAACTACCGAAGATTTCGCTGTATACCAGAAATTTCAGATGGCCTACCAAAAATTTCATTCGAATATATTTTTCTCTTTTTACCATAAGTATTTTTACCATTATCAAAATATGAGGAGTGTCAGGTTCGATTTTGAGGCGACAATATATATATATATATATATATATATATATATATATATATATATATATATATATATATATATATATATATATATATATATATAATATTGTATAAAAATATATGTATTATATATGATTAGTATTTTAAAATGATACAAATGAGGTGGATTAATGAAAGACTCGTGTCTAATACTCAATGCACAACTCACTCAATGTTGGGTATAGATGAAGAAACTGTAACACTGACGTTTGTTAGGAAAACTTTCAATGTTAACCCTACCAATCCGAATCCTGAATGAGAATTATAACCACAAGTTTCTCTATGAACTCGGATTGGAACTACTTTTATTTATCAAATAAAAAGTGTGCCTAGTGGGTTAAATTGCAACCACAACATACTCTATTGTGTTGGAAAATTAAAAATATACAAATATAATGCAAAACCAGTTCAATTGGTAGCTCACACAAAAATTTGATTAAACTGGAATATGCAACATCTTACTTCTTCTTATGTATATCCAACAGAATATAGCAGATCTTAGTTTGAATATATAATTTTTTAGAGATTTTATATGAAATGTCTAAAATATTTTTTGATTTCGGAAATTCATATTTATAATTACTGTTTTTTATAAATTTTGATACAATTCAAATATATATCTTTAAAATTTTACACTTTTCAGATATGTATTTTTAGATTCACCAATGATAAAAAATGCATTATAAAATTACCAACAACAAACACATATTCATGATTCATGTCTTTCCTTCAACCCTAGCATAAGTCAAACCAACACAAGCATCAACAAAATCGTCATCAATAAAATCAGTAGAAAAAACCTGAATCCTATCCGCAAAACCTTTCTGAAAACACTGAGCAATAAACAACCTGGCATATCCATGAATCCTTCTCGTAACAGGTTTGACACACAAAACAGGATTATCAGCCACCGGAGTCACCGTATTCTCCACCCTATAAAAATATTTCCTCCCCGTAACCGGTGCTTGCTCACTCAAATGCTTCAAATTCCCATCAAATTTCGTTGACGGAAGATCAGTATTGATCCAATTATCTTTCAAATACCCCGCACTCCATAAAATACTCCCCGCTTTAGGCTGAGCCGATTTTCGCGGCTTCCATACACATATGATCCTCCTCGGCAACAACTCCGCCACAGTTTTACCGAAAACATTATCATCCTGATGAATCAAAAACTCGCCCAAATTCTCCTCGAGATACTTCTCAAACTCGGGTGGATCTTCATGACCAAACTCAGTTCTGATCTCAAGAATAATAATCTCATGCTCAGTTTCGGACAGAAACCTTTTAACATCCTTGACAACAACATCGACGCTATAAGTAACAAGAATTCCATGACAAACACGTCGATCTTGTTGAACACGAATATCTAACAAACGTGTTCCTTTAACAAGCTGGTGATATATTGATAAAGATTGACATTGAGCAAAAGGGCGAGTGATAAGTGGGACTCCAATTTTGTTGGTGGCGGAATCATGTGTTCCTGGCCATACAATTTGATTGATGTGAGTCTTGTCTGGATTGAGATCTTTCATCCAGTTTTTTCTATCGGGAGGGTGATATTCGGAGCCCGGATATTCTTCTCCGGAGGTTTTTAGATCGGTTAGAGTTTTCTTTTCGGTGTGGATTGTTTTTCTTCTTTCTACTTGTTTTGACAGATGAGAACCCATCTTGTTCTTCACTCTTGTTCAATAACTTTTTGCTTTCTTCTTCCTTTTATGCTTCTTCTTGTGCTTTTTCTTGTTCTAGCTGGTGTTGGCTGTTATCATAAAAAGGTTCAATTAAAGTTATTAAATTTGTTGTCCAATAACAATAATAATCATTTAAAACACTGTTTTAACTTAATAATTTGTTTCTTTATAACAAGGCTTTTTAAATAGACGTGGAAGCTTCTTTTAATTATGAATAGTGAATGTAAAATATTTATTGAAATTTAATTTTTATTTTAATTATTTATAAAATAATATTTATAAATAATTTTATGTAAAAAAATGTATACTAACCGTACATAATAATTAATTTTTATAATAATTTAAATAATAATTTAAATTTTTAGAATAACACTCATTTATCGACCACATAAATTACACATACATTAAATTAAATCATGACACATAGATATTTTAGATATAAAAATGGCACTGTAATCACAATGATTTCATTAAGATAATATATAATAAATAATTTCTAAATTTTTTACAATTATAAAATTTATAAATAAATGAAATAATAAAGTCTATAAAGATAGAATCTATGGATAAGTTGAAAAAATTAATCTCAGATCTAAAAAGTGAAAACAAGTCAAAATAAAATAAGTTTACATACAATTCTTATATATTTCAATTCAAAAAATAAAATGCTCTATTTATTTTTATAATTGACATTTTGTTGGCGTTATAAATGTATTTTGTCCTTACTTTAATTGCATTTTTATGTGATATATCTTTTTGTTTACTTTTTTTTTTTACAAAAAAAAAATCTAATCATTTCATTAATCAAAATGTGTTCAATATAATATGATACTATCAATATTTGAAAGTTAGTGTCACCTTATCTAAATTATGAACAATTTAACTTGCATATTTCGTAATAAATTGAATACTAGTTATTATAATAGGTAGAGAACAAATATCTATAATGTTGAATAATATTATTAAATTCCGAATAATTTATTTTGGGAGAAAATAAACTATCTCTCAAAATTTTAGAATCTAATTCTAAATCAAATGGATTCATATTAAACTTATGTATTCAATAGGGAGTCAAAAGTTAGAGTGATCCATTTAGTTTTGCCACCACAAAAAGATTGTGCTCATTTCTGACACAAACACATATTCTCACTATATTATGAATAAGAGGAAAAAAATCACATAATATTTAATTCTTCTTATGGTCGACTTGCTCCACTTAACACAATATCTTATTTGAGTAGATTCAGGGTCTCTAATCTTCATAACATATTTTCAATAATAGAGAACGTCAACAACTCTATGCATAACCTCCTCATGTTGCTTTATAACATTGTTTCATATTTTGTTAATTCGTTGTTTGCTAATACTCCACATGATATTGACAAAAGGAGCATAATTGTCACAGAGTAGCTACAAAATGATATAAAAGAATATTGTAGCAATTTCAGATCCACTATTTGCTAATGGATCACAAGAAGGAGCATTTACAATGGATCAAGAGAAATTACACAAGTGAGAGAAACACTATATATTCATTTAAAACCTTAAGAGATTAGGTATATGTGTCATCTCACTTATAAAGTGTTAAACCTTCATTTTTCCCAACAATGTGGGACTTTCAACTCACAATTAAGTCACAACAACATCCATATCAAGTGTGAGTTCATCCGTTATGTTCTCCCTCAAGCGGAAGATCTTTCATCTACATGCATTTGTACCGCTATTGGCACTCTTACCACATCACATGAACTTCAATCAGACACAACACGACACCAGATTATTAGGAAGACTTTCGATACAAGGATAAATCCTTTACTCGAACCATCGACTCTGATATCGTTGATGGATAACGAGGAAGAGCATCCATATTGGGTCAGAAATACTCACACAAGTGAGAAAGACACCACATATTCATCCAAAACCTTAAGGCATTAGGTATATGAATCCTCCTCCCACTTAAAAAATATCTAACCTCCATTTTTTCAAGCAATGTGGGGCTTTTAACTCACACTTGAGTAACAACATCCACTACCTCATAGATCACATAACGAAAAGGTGTTCGGATCCAAATATTTCATCTATTTCAACACTAGAAGAAAATATGCAGAGAGTCTCTTATACCATCATCACATAGAGCATAATTAACGGGACAATTAACACTGTTATCTTGTAACCTATTTCTTGTGGGGAAGCAATTTCTACATATCCACCAAATTAAGTTCTTGACTTTCAAAGTTGTTTTAATCTTCCAATTGAGGTACCAATGAATATGACTTATGAGAAAACTAATATCAATAAGATCCTGGATAATCAGTCATTAAGAACTCTTTACCGAGTAGTCTCCATTAGTTTATATGTTCCAAACTCGTCTATCTACTATGACCAAATCAAAAAAATATGGTGCTGAAAAATTTTCCAACACTAATTGACCAAATATAATGTTGAGTAATTGATAATTACACATCGTGGTATTAAGAAAAAGAAGGTGAGATAAAGATAGTTACGAGTTTGCAACAAAATAGTTGATAGAATAAGAGAAGAACCATCACTAAGCCATTTTATAGAGTCATGCATCAACAAGTTTATGTTTTGATGATTATAAACATCATGATCAAGGCAAAAGGCATTATCAAAAAAAAGAAGAAAAAGTCTCTACTCAAAATGGACTTTTGGCTTGCATGCTAAGTTACTCCTAAATAAGACTTTGGTATTTGATCTTCATTATGGTACAAGACTCCAATTCAATATAGTATGTTACTATAGTGCTCAAAATATTTCTAATATTATGCATACATGTCTCATGGCTTTTAATATAACTAGCGTTGCATTTCCAAGCCATTAAAAATGTTATTTCACTTTTTATACAGTAGTAACCAGTTATAGGTTTCTGGTAACCCGTTACAGGCTTCAGCCTTTCAAAAATATGAATGTTACTTGCATGGGTAACCGGTTACTACATTCTGGTAACCGATTACCGCTGAAACAAATTTGAAAAACAAGATTGTTTAGAATGTTGTTTGTTTGTTGCATTTGTCCATGAATCATTGCATTTCTGCATTCATTTAGAACCTTTTGAAAGGGTGAAATACATGTAGATAATTTAAATATTTCTGAAGTAGAAATACACATAAAAGAACAACAATCATAACATACAATTCAATATTTTGTTTCTCATTTTCAAACAAGTGCATGGATTAATATTATTATCTTGCATAAAACTTTTACTCTTATATTTTCAAATATATCATTAGAAAAGTTTCATCATATGCATTGAGCACTTGTATAATATATTCATTAAATTGTTGTCTTGAAAGAGAATAGATAAATATTTTGTATTGACATTGATTATCAACTTTCATATTTACTTCAAGAATTTGTTTCTAATCATTTTTCCAAAGTGATTGTGGTATAATCTTGTTGTCCAGGTTTGTAGGAAGCAAGAGAGTATTAAGGGAGGATTGTTCTCTTTCTACTTTGTATTGGTTACCTTGTTTTCAGGATTGTCAAAAACAAGTGTGTACATTAAAGAGGATTGTTCTTCATGTACTTGGTTGGATCTTAAAGGATGGTTAAAGTCTTTGATCTCCCTATAGGTTAGATAGTAAGTATCACATTTGGATGTGGATAGGCTGTACGATAATTCTAACTATAGTGAAATCTCTTACATGTTGGTAAGGGGACTGGAGTACTCTCGAAGTGTGAGGGGAACCAGTATAAATCTCTTGTATTCTTTATTTTTTGTGTTTACCACTTTCATATTCATACACAAACAAGAAAATAAGAACATCATCACATAAAGGAAAGCAGCTATGGAGTACAATGGCATCACCGACCCGGTCGACCATATAGACGGGTTTGAAGCCATGCTGCACTACCACAACATCGGGGGACCAATCAAGTGTCGGTTGTTCCCCATGACTCTGAGGAAAGCAGCTATGGACTGGTACAAAGGTCTTGCCCCGGGGTCAATTACCTCTTGGAGAAACCTAAAGAACCAGTTCATCAGCTCGTTCACTACTTCGCGACGACACCTGAAGACCGAAGTGGCGCTCAAGGCCATCGTCCAGAGACACGATGAGACCTTGAGGGAATTCATTGACTGCTTCAATCGGGAAGCCATCCAGGTCCCCTGCACAGACCATATGAAGAGGTACCTGCTTGAGAGGGGGCTCCTCCCGGGCACCAAATTCAAAAAAGCCGTAGGCATCAAACCACCCCAGACGTTCGATGCCCTCCTCGAGAAGGCCAGGGCCTATATGGACTACGAGGAGAGAGAAGTGGCCAACAGAGCCCGAGATTCCAAGAACGGTGGATCCAGTAGTAATCTGCAATAAGATATCGCCCCTCCTCGACGAACTGGAGAGAAGAGAAAGGACGATAAACCCTGAGATGCCCGAGAAAAAAGGGGGCCCTCGGGGAGGTTCACTGAATACACTCTGCTAACGGCTTCCCACAAGCACATCTTAGCTGAGTGCGCAAGTACAGACTTCAAGGACGGCGGCCTCAAGTGTCCCCGCCCCGCTCCTGCCAAACCCGGGGTAGACCGAAGCAAATACTGCCAGTATCACCGGAGCCACGGGCACTTGACTGAAGACTGTGTCCACCTCAAGGACGCCATCGAGACCCTCATAAAAGGAGGAAGACTTGCACAATATCGGAGAAACGACGCTCCTCATCGGGATGCCCGTGAGACAAGGTAAGTAGAAGAGGATGCCCGACCATCTGACGAGTCGGTTCTCATCCAAACCGCATTCTCCGTCACAAGACCCGAGGACTTCTACGTCCCCGAACATCTGTAAGAGCCTCCGTCTACGCACAGCAGGTGGGAAAACTTCCCCTCCGTCGTGGTCATCAATAGAGGAGGGTTTAATGATCTGACCATAAATTCGGAAAAGAGAAAGCTGGACAAACTGGTCAACGCGGCTCCCCCACAAACCGTGACCTTCGAAAGGGTGAAAGGAAGATCAGAGCCGATCACC